AACAATTCACGATAACAGTACCTGCTCGCTACACGATATGGTGGGGTCATTTTGTAAGCAGTACTGTCCAAGTGCGTACCCGCAGGGCAAGTTAGGCCATTTCCATTCTGGAAAAATGCATTACTTTCCTCATGAATTCTGAAAATCTCAAGCAGTCATTGCGAATCTAAAAGCTATAGTTCCATCTTTGTTACATCAAACATCTCCCGGCGCTTCCTTCTGAAAAACGGGGTTGAATCCGATTTCAACACTCCCGCCGCGCCAGCAGTATCCTGACAAATCAAATTTAACGTTCATCAGCAGCTGGATACTGTGACCGTTTAGCGGAATTTGTTGAATTATTCTCACCTTGTAACTTCGCTTCGAAATGCGGCAATCGCCTGGTTCACGAGTGTGACCCGACTCATAAGGATAGCACTGCTCATCGACAACGCTGAAATATTCACATTTTACTAGAAGAACTGGTCAGCGACTGTACTCATAGTTTGTCACGAATCGTAGAGTTGAGTTTCATGACATATGGTGGAACCTTTGAATTTATGGCGTTAATGAGCGTCTCGACTTACCCACGGACACAGGAAAAAAACATAGTTTATGAGCCTAAGGTGATTTATGGAAGGCGCCTTGAAATAGCGACTCTACTCCATCGTGGTTTGGTATCTAATTTGGCGGTCTGACGTACGATCATGGAGATGACATACACATATTGAGTCTATAAATTTAATCAGGAACCGTGTGTACCGAAATTATTTGATTGCCTGTTATTGGCATAAAAAATGAACTCGCAACGCAAAGTGCAAAGCGACACTAATGAGCTATTACCTTTATGCACAGCTAATTTAAAGACACGGGTTGAAACCGTAAGGAAAGAGAATATTAGGGCAGACTATACCGTACATTTGGCTTTGAAAAGCATTAAAAAAACCGCAAGTACAGGATGAAAAAAAAATTTCCGTGGAGGCTACAAACAGTCGGGGGCTGTTGATCTAGATACCATAAAACATAAAAGTTTCAGCATAGAAGTACCTTATCTTATGCAGAGTTTTGTCCCTACAGAGATATAAGCATACGACTCTTGAGACTTCTGGTGTTGAAAGCAAATTTTACTTGGTTAAAATAGACGCTGGTTTGAAAATTCAATGAGTATAGTTAATATCAAAGAGTATTAAAATTTTGAAAATAGTTTCCATTAAGTGATCTATGACATGCAAATGCTTAAACTTATCGTTTTATAAATGGAAAAATCTTCTTATGGACATATACAGAGATGAATATGGAAGAATTATAAAATGTTGTGCATTTTTTGTTGGTTCTGCAAGGATAATTAGAACATCGTTTTCATTTAAAAAAAAGCATTTAAATAAGCGCGCAGAGGGTCCTGCGATATAGGAACCTGC